AAAATGAAGAAAGAGACCAAACAGCGAGCGTGGGCAGGAAGCGCAGTAGGACCTTGGCACTGCGAACGATGCCCTCAAGGTCTTGGCGGACAGGCGACTTGTTGTACAGATCGGTCCAAGTGGCATCAGACGCAAAAGCAGGCTTGATTTGCATTTTATCGGCGCGAGTCTTGGGGTCCTCGCTGACCAGATCCAAGTAGAAATCTGCAGAATAATTCGGGTAAAGTCAAACGTCATCGGCATGACAGCCAAGAGCGAGGTAATGTTGTTACGAGACGCACCGGCGGGGTTCTCATCCGGGTCACGCTCGAAACCAATGCCCTTGAAATGGCGGGCCGCATCCGTCATGGTACCAGCAAAGGCCAAGCGGCCTTCTTGCAAGAGGTACAAATCGTCGAGAGAGGCGAAGACAGCCGAGGAAGGCTGATGGATGGTCATGATGCACGTGACACCAGTGCGGCGGGCAATACGCGAGATGTACTTGACAATCGTGTATGCGGCAGCTGAATCAAGACCGGTTGTGGGCTCGTCGAGGAAGAGAATCGAGGCCTCGGCCACGAGGCCAATGGCAATGCTGACACGCTTGCGCTGACCACCAGTCAAGGCCGAAGGCTTGCGATCTGCCCAAGAGGTCAAGTCCAGGATTTGCAGCAAATTATCAACGCGCTTCTTCACCACCTCCTCGCTCTCGTCTTTGCGACGCTTGAGGAGACCCGTGTAGGTGACGGACTCGCGGATGGTGAATTCATCTGCGCGCACAATAAAAAGGTGAGGATAAAGCTGGTCAAGAAACAAGCCAGTCTCCCCCAGCAATTGCACGTCGCCGTGTCGGGGAGGGGGAGACGCACCAGAGAGCTCATCAAACTGGGCGACAAAGTCCAGATCATCACGAGAGATGGCGCGTCCAGAAAACTTGACGTCGCCGCGAACCTTAGCATAACTGATGATGTTATCAGCAAGAGCATCGAGGCTATGAGGTCAGGCACGCGAGCCAAGCCGCCTTGCTTGGCAGGTGAGGGGCGAGGAGTAGTCAGAGATGCAGAACTCACGTGGCGCGACCACAGAGGGCATTGAGCAGCGTCGTTTTCCCGGCACCTGTGATGCGCGCAAGTAATAGGCGTGAGGTGGGCCCCTGTGGGATTTGGGGACCTACAGACACTGGCGCAAGGTTGAGGCCACTGCTCACGCACCTGAGGGTCCCATGAGGGCGAGGCAATAGCCACCGCGGGCCACACCGCTGACGTTGTCAATGAGAATTTTGCCGTTGGGCAGGCTGAGGGTCAGGTTGCGCCAGACAAGCTGGCGGCCCATGACAGAGGGATCGCGGGCCGTTTCACCTTCCTCGTGATAGGCCGGCTCGGTGCGCTCGGGGGCCGGGAGATCGGCGATGGGCGTGGGCTTGACGATGAAAGACTTGATAACGGACACCACGTAGGGGACAGGGTAATAGTAGGCCAGGAGGACGATGAGGCGGAATCCGATGGCAACGGCCACCAGGCGACCAAAGGAATCCCAAGGATCGGGTCCATCAATGTGCTTGTACTGGTCCAGGACACTTGAGCCTGAGACGCGGCATTCTCCGTTGTCGGTGGGAATGTCACAGGACAGGTCAAGGCCGAGGACGGGCAGTGCGCACGAGTTGTTGGCGGTGAGCATGGCAAAGTTGTCGTCGGCACAACGGAATTGAATGTGCTTCATGACATCGACGGAGGAAGCGCGAGTGACCCAGTAATAGTAGCTCACTTCTTGTGCCCAACGCCAACCCTCTGGCACAATGTCCGGGCGGATCAGGGAGCCGGTGCTGAAAATACTGAGAAGCACGCAGAGGGCCTGGGCCACAACGACAGCATAAGCAGCCGACTTGAAGAAGAGGGTGACAAAGTGCACCGACCCCTCGGCCGCGAGGCAGACATATAAAAAGAGAGGAAACTGAATCCGAAAGCCTCCGAGGGCAAGCCCATCATAAAGTAGCAAATGGCAATGCCGGGCAAGAAGGCGCAAGTGCCAATCATGGTGGAGAAGAACTCGGCAAAGAAGTAAGGCAGCACACCGTAGGCATGGTTGGCGTGCTCATGGTAGAAGCGCTCGTTGGTGCTGACCAAGTAATTGGTCTTGAAAACGTGAATGTAGGTTGAGATGAATGCAAGCCAGGTGATGCCATTGAAGACGTCGTTGAGGCGGTTGCCAAGCACAAATGGGTCAAGGGAAAAGAAGACAGCGCCGACCATGAAACCATAGCCGCCATGGAGCATGAGTTGCAGCCAGTAGAGGGTCACATCACGGCGAGCCACGGTGATGTTGCGACGGAACAGGGCAACAAATTGACGCCACTGGGAGGTTTTGAAAGCAAGTCGCTGTTCACTCTCCTTGGAGTTGGCAAAGCTCTGGTCGATGACCGACTGCAGTGCGCGGTTGTGTTCGCTGGCCTGAAAGCTGGCGATAAAGTCAAAGCCACCAGGGCCACTCTTGGGCCGGTCGGTGACCTAAAGGCAGCAGGGAGCCGTCAGTATTCAAGCCAAACAGGAGTGTTGGCTGGGACGAGGGGCCAGATTGTCAACGTCGAGAGGCTGGGCGACGAATGGTTGTACCTGGAGGTAGTGATCAGTCGGAGTTTCGTCCTCGTCGCAGGGGAAGCCAAGCTTGGCAAAGTACTCCTTGGCAGGTTTGAGGGGGCCAAAGTAGGCTTGACCACCGTGGCCCATGACGCAGACGCGATCAAAGAGTTCCATGAGGCGGGTGTTGGGTTGCTGCAGCGTGACCATGACGCCCATGTCGCGGTTGGTGGCAGCGAGCTGCTTCAGATAGGCGATGAGGGCATAGGCCGTGCTAGCATCGAGTCCACTGGTCGGCTCATCGATCAGCAAGATGGCTGTGGCGGGGTGAGGCGCAAGCCAGGTGCAAAAGGTTAAGGACGCAGGGATGATCGTCTGACGTCGCTCTCCCAAACCATTGGGCGCGGACAAGCGTGGTAGTCACGTACTAGGCTCAGCCACAATTTCGACGGCACAGCTAACGCGGCGCTTCTGGCCGCCCGAGAGACCCCGGCGAAGGATGGTACCTAAAGGCCAGGATGTGAGGGAAGAACTGTGGTGTGCCCCGGCGCAGTGGCTGTGTTGGTGGAAGGCTTACCGATGACAGAGTCGCTGACGCGGCTGAGGCCGATGGCATCGAGGACGCGGTCAATCTTAGCGTCATTCTGAGGAAAAGGAAAAAATAATAAAAATCGGGGGCAGGGAGAAGGCGAAAGGGAAGATCGGGTCAGTTTGAGCAAGAGGCCAGCCAGGCAGCTTCACGACAGTTGAGTACAAGAAGGGGGGTTCAGATCGAGATAGGGCGGCCAAAAGGGCAGGGAAAGGGGCGACGTGCCTCAGCAGTCGAGTCGTTGTTCTTGAGTTGAAGCGCGGTGCGAAGGGTCTCGCGCACGGTGAGGTCTCCGATAAGGAGATCTTCCTCAAAGGAGAAATCGCCATTGACATCGGAAAAGGGCATGCGGACACCATCGAGGACAACGTCACCCGATTTGAGCAGCTCCTATGAAGACGCAAGCATGCAAGCAGAGCTGGAGCTGGATTGTGCAGCAGGAAGGAAGAGAAACAGAAGAAAAACACCGAAAAACATATTTGAAGCCTTGGGGTGTGTGTGACATGTGGTGTGGGCGTTCCATCGGGTACGTACGGCATTGCGGCCAGCCAGGCTCTTGAGCAGGGTTGATTTGCCTGTGGAGGAAACGCCGAGAACGGCGGTCATACCACCTCGAGGAATAAAGCTACCGAGGGGCCAGCCGTGCACGCCGGGGTCAAGAGTCGGAGGGAGGGTCGGAGATGAGAGGCGGCGTCAGGGCGATTGGTGTAGTGGCAGCGTACCCCGAGACGTTTTTGAAGATGGCCTTTTCAGCGCCGACGGCAGCGACACTAATGTCACGCCAGGCGTAGATGGCATCGGCAAAGGCGGCCATGACGACGGGCTGGGGGAGGAGGTGCTATGCAGCCACCCCTGTTGTGGGCGATCGGGAGACACCCGGCCAGCCAGCGAGAGAGACTGAGTGAGAAAGAGGTAGAGGGAGAATGGGCGGTGAAGACGAAGGGGCAGAAAGGTGGTTGGGTTGTGTGGAGTGAGGAGCACGGGCGAGGAAAATGGCGGCCAGGGGCGAATGGGCAGTGTGGCCCAGCCAGCACGGAGTGGCGTTCGGTCCGCACGGGATGTCATGCCAGCGAAGAAGAGTTGTGGTGCCGGTCGCGAGGACCATCATCTTGTCATCATGATGATCAAAACGATGCTTTGCCTACCTGATCCCTGTTGATCTGGTAGCCCACAGGTGGAGAATGAGGCACCGGCTCAATGAATCTGGAAAGAATTGAGAGTGAAGCGAGGTGAGAGGGCGCGGTCCGCTCAAACTAAACTGCCGCAACCACAACGTTGTGGTAGTTGGGGCACGAGGGCGTGGAAAAGGGATTAGGGACTGAGGCAGAGGTCAAGCCGTGAGGTGGAGAGAGGAAGGGAGAGAGAGAGAGAGAGAGGGAGGGAGAGAGACAGAGGGAGTGTGTGTGTGTGTGTGTGTTGCGCAGCGGATTCCGGACCCGCTTGGGCCGTCGTGTCGTTGGGTGCGATCGGGGCCACCTCGTGTGTGCTTTGAGTGATGGTTGTCAAGCATCAAAGGGACGATCATTCAAGACAACAAGAAGGAGAGGAGAAGGGAAGAGAAGGGAAGAAAGAGGGAAAAGAGAGAGAGAAGAGCGGGAAGAGAGAGAAGAGCGGGAAGAGAGAGAAGAGCGGGAGGATAAGAACCAGCACCACCACTGCCGCTGATCCCGCCGCTGATCCCGCCGTCGCCGTCGCCGTCGCGCGCCGATCAGTAAGGACGGACCTGAACGCAAAATGCGGACCATGTGTGATGCACGTAATTTTGTACCCTATCAGGATTTGATGGCAGAGGTTGGTCGTGGGTGGTCAAGTTTTTTCAGAGAGGGTGTCGGATGGGGGGTGCGGGGTCCATGGAATTTCATACGGCGTTGAAGAGAGATGCGCAAGGTGTGCGAGTGGTGGAAGAGACGAGGTGATAAGGACATAAAATGTCATTAAGACTGACATTTCGAACCCATGGCCTTACGAGGTTTCGAAAGAAGAGAGAGAGAGAGAGAGAAGAGAGAGAGAGAGAGAGAGAGAGAGAGAGAGAGAGAGAGAGAGAGAGAGAGAGAGAGAGAGAGAGAGAGAGAGAGAGAGAGAGAGAGAGAGAGAGAGAGAGAG